GGCAATTACCCAAAGTGGTAAAGCTTTTTCTCTCCTCTCTCTTGAAGTTAGAAGCTATGCATAAGCAAAGGTTTGAAGAGGCAAAAATCTAATTTTTTTATTATGCTTCAAAACTTAGGCTTAGAAATTACTTAATTCCTTATACAGAGCAACCACAAAACACAGGTGAAATACTAAAAAAAACTACCAAAAATTTCAAAAATGCACATTTATGAATTAAAATACTAATCTCGTTTTTTGACCAATTGACCATAATACCCCTAAGCACTTTTCAACAAATGGCAAAACCATCCTTCCATGAGGGCCCTCTTACCATTGCTAGACCTCGAGAACTTTTTCGAATGCTTACGATAGTAATTCATGTGCTCAAAAGTCGTAGCATCGATGCTTGAACTATTGCGCACGTTTTGATACCCTTTGATTGTCTTGAAGCATATGTTTAATGAATAACCTAAAATTCAGCCTAGTCCATAAACTTCATGATTCTTCGACCACTAATTTAGCATGATTTATGACGTCCCAAGCCTTCAATTTGATCACAAATTGAATAGGATACTATCACGATCATTTTGTAATAAATTTCGTCCATTTTGGTCTCCGTTTGAGCACGTTCCAATTTGGGAAAGTCGTCGAAAAATGGGATTCCGACGACCGAAATAGTATACCATCTTTGACCTCAAAATTTGGTATTGTCCGACCTCCGATCGTACACAAAATTTATATCAAACTGTAGCTTTTCGAAGCACGGTCGCAATAGACTTAAATTTGCAATGATCCGACATCGGGATCTTGAGTTATGACCTCTCAAAGAATTAGATGTTTGTTTTTTTCAAACTGTGAATTTTCATGTTTCGAGCACATCTTATATTTAGAAATTCTCTCGTTTCGGGTTACGCAATGACGCATGTAATATGTCAAAAAGAGCGAGTCGTCAAAATCTAACTCGTATCCGAATTTGAGCTTAATTAGACTCAAAACGAGCAAGTTATAAGCATTTGAAAATCATCTCGAATTGAGAAAACACAGTTTCTATAAATGGAAAAAAGTTCACCAAGGTTGTACTACAATATTGTAAAATCCACCTTCATGGTAAGTTAGCCCCAGAATGGTCCTAGAGGGTCCGATTGAGCTAAAATTTGGTACCTGAGTGTTTTACGATGTTCTGGATCTAATGGCAATAGTTTGATACAATTTTGAGACCCAAAAAATTGGGTTATAGTTATAGGGTCAATGTTCAACATGTTAGGAACGGATCCTGATCATATCAAAACTCGTCAGAATGCGATGAAACTTTACATGTGTCCTTAGGGTATCCAAAAGTACCTCTCATACAATTTGAGGTCATTCTAACACTTCTTCCAAAGTCACCCAGTTTTAGGCTTATTACTAAGTGTTCCTGTGGTCTGGCAATGCCTTTAGCACCAGCAGGACCAGATTACTACCGGCTCTCTCCGTATTCACCCCGAGGATACAAGTACGTCAAAATGACATATAACAAATAGGGCTAAAATTCGTAACGATCTTCCCCACTAGACTCATGAGCATGCCCCCCCTTGCTTAGTGGATCTTGTGCTTAATGCATCAGTGCTCAAGTAGCACCCATGCTCGCCAAGTCCCTACAAAGCTCTTGTTATCCTTTTTTTAAGCCTTGGTCATTTTATCTAACGGATTTCTATCCGTTAGGATTTTCTCTATTCGCATCTACTATTTATCCAAGGAAAAAGTTTATATAAGGATGCAACCTTATAATGTAGAACTACGGATGCACCTAAAAAATTCAACGAAAAGGTAGTTTTAATATTTGATTGATCATCTCAACATCGAGATGTATGACTATAAAAAATAAAAAGATTTTAAGTCTCAGAAATAGTGCATTTTACAACGTATTATCTACACTTTCTATTTTCAAGATTTTCATATGTTTATAGATCTACTTGATTTTAACCATTTTTGAAATTTAAAATTTTATAATCAAATATAAAAATAGATTTTGAGATAATCCTAAGAAAATTTTACATCAAAATTATATACCATGATAAAATTTGAAAGTGTACCTTACCTCTACAGCTACGGATGCATCCGTATGCCAACTGCACAATGAATATCCATCTGCTTTATCTTGCCATGATATATTGCATTTTTCTTTGGTCAATAGCCCTTTGGCTATGAAAGTGAACAAATTAATTGTCTTGCTTCAAAATCATTTCTTTTGAGAACCTCTTGAATCCACCACATTTCTTTGCATGCTTATGTAACTGCTATATATTCTATATCATGGAGAGAGCAACATTCCTTTGTAATTTAGACTGCTATAACACTACTCCCCTTACAAAAATGAACGGGTATCTTGCGCGGACTTCATGGTGTCATGTCTCCAGCCATATCTACATTTATATATTTATTTAGCATAGTTTTCTCACTACTAAAGTATAAGCATAATTTAGATGTACCCTTCAAATATTTGAGAATCCATTTTACTATTTTCTAATATTCTTTTGTACTCACCGTAACCATTGCATAAATGATGTTTGGCCATGTACATGTTGATTTTGTCTTGAATGGTTTTCCTTATATTTTGGGTGTCCTATTGTTTTGGAATTACCTTCATCTAATTTTCTATTTTGTAGGATGATTTTGGGTGAAGTTCTAAAATGTTGATTATAAGAAGATCATTGAGCCTACTACACGTGAGGAAGAGACTCAACTGGAAGGAAAAAGAGAACCAACAAGCCAATGGGTTGATACAATTTGAGGACATGTTGGCTATGTTACAAGCTAAAAGCCAGCAACTTTTAAGAAAGCTATGGCTTATGCATTAGTTATTACAAGTCAAATGCTAAAAACTTTTAAGAAAGCTAAACAAGATATTAGTTGTAACATGTGGGAGAGATGTCATGAATAAAGAAATGGGGTCTTTTCAACATAATCCTTCCTGGGATCTCGTAAAGTTGCCCAAAAGCAAGACAGCTATTGAATGTAAATGGGTTTAAAAACAAGAAAGAAGGGTTTTCTGAGTCTCGTGGTGATCAATATAAGACACGATTGGTTGCAAAACGATATGTGCAGAAAGAATGTATTAACTATTATGAGATTTTCCTTCCGGTCGTAAAATATACTTTTATTTGGGTATTACTAGTAATAATTGCATTGCTTGATTTGGAGTTGAGCAGCTCGATGTTAAGTCTGCATTCTTTCATGGAATTAGAGGAATAAATTTATAGGACTCAGCCTAAAGCATTTGTAGTTAGGGAAAGGTTTATATACTTCCCCTACAGCATAGAAGATCTATGCTTCCCCTACCATCTAGCGGTCCAATTTTGATCAAGAGAGCCACTCACCTTTTGGTCTTAGATCCAACGTCTAAAAATATTTTATTTTTAGTTTTTTTTTATATAACTTGTATGAATATGAAATTTGGTATGTGCCATCTGCTCATTGGGGCGCACTTGTAAAAAATATTAAAATAATTTTTCAATAAAATATAATGATCAAAATACCCTTTGAAACTTTTAGGGATATTTTGATCATTTTATTTTATTGTAAATATTTTTAAAACATTTTTTGCTAGTGCGAGTTTAATAGAGGATTGGACGTCCAAAATTTGGTGTCAAAATAGTGTATAGAAAAAAAAATTAAAATAAAATAGTGTAGAGACGTGACATTATGATTGGGGCAATCTTAACCCTCTATTCAGAATGGACGGTTGGATAAGGGGAAGTATATAAGTTTTATGCTACAGGAGAAGCATAGAAAGCTTGCCCTTGTAGTTAAAGGCAGGGAATACTATGTCTACAACATGAAAATGTCATTATATGGTTTAAAGTAGTCACGTAAGCAGTGGTACAAGCACTTTGATACATTCATGATTGGACATGCGAATGTCAAAAGTAAGAATGATAGTTGTGTCTATTCTAAGACATTGTGATTGGGGCAATCTTAGCCCTCCATTCAGAATGAACGGTTAGATAAGGGGAAGTATATAAATTTTATGCTACAGGAGAGGCATAAAAAGCTTGCCCTTGTAGTTAAAGACAGGGAATACTATGTCTACAAGATGAAGAAGTCATTATATGGTTTAAAGTAGTCTCGTAAGCAATGTTACAAGCACTTTGATACATTCATGATTGGACATGCGAATGTCAAAAGCAAGAATGATAGTTGTGTCTATTCTAAGATATTTGTTTATGGTTCGTTCATCTATTTGCTGCTTTATATGGATTATATGCTTCGGAAATTAATAGAATATCCATTTACTCCTTCAAGTAAAATCCCACCTAGAACTAATTTCACGACCCTCAATTTTTTGGATTAAAACCCTATCAACCCATAAATTAACTTCAATAAAAAAAATCCTAATTGTTACTTGGAAAAAATAATATCTCAATATTGAATAGAAACCCTCCAAATTTTAGGGGGTGAGAACTAAGTGTTAAAAAACTCAAATTTATTATTATTGCTCATTTTTTTGGAATAATCATCTAACAATTCTGAAGTGATTCTCTAAATTCTGGATAAAAAAAATCCTCCCAAATAAATCTAGCAATTCTTAAGTGATTGTCTAAATTTTGGATAAAAAAAATTCTCCCAAATAATTCTTTTGACGAGGGAGTAGAAATAAGCTATGCTCTCAAGGGAACATAGTATTCATGCCCATAGTAAAAAACCCACAATAAAGATATTTAAAAAGTTATAATCCGTTGAAAGATATTATGAATGATAGACTCACATTTTACTCATTTACTTGAATGTTTATTTTTTTCCTATAAATTTCTCAAATTTTCCCTCTCTTCTCCTTTTCTTTTAGATTTTTATTAGTTTTTTTAATTTAATATGGGGATGTAACATAAACAACCGTTACCATCAATGAACAGTGGAGATTCACCAAAACGTATGATCGATTTGGATGCTCCGGTGGTGTACCATACAGCATACGCAGGCTGTGCATGGTATGCTTGATAATAGTAAATACTCTCTGTGAAGGCTGATGAGCGAGACAGAGAGAGAGAGTGTGTCCCCTCTCCCGAGCCAGAAAGGCTTAAATTAATGGAAAATCCATGGCGATAACCCTAAATCCAATTCAAGGTCACATTCGACAACCGAAAATGGCGTTCCCCTTCAGACTTAAAACTCTCTCTCACTTTTCTTCTATTCCGAAATCCCTATTCCTCAGAAGCTTCTCATTCTCCATTTCTCGTACCCCTTATCCCCTTCAATACGATCTCATATCTTATAAACCAGTTAATCCTTCATCTGGGCGTAGCAAAACCCAAAAACCAAAATCCTTTGAAAACTTTCCAGAAAAGGAAACTGGTCCAAGCTTAGGAGAACCCCATCACTTGTACCTTGCAAGCAAAAGCAAGAGAAAATATTACAAGAAAAGGAGAAAAAGGATGTATGGCTCTGAAACTGATGACGAAGGATCAAGGGATGATGAGTATGTCGAATTGAAACCAGAGGTTGTGGAAATGCCCACTTATCATGCTAGAGAAGAGGAATTGTACTTTCATGATGCATTTGCTTTTCCATGGGAGAAGGATAAACATTATAGGATGGTTTATCAGTTAGAGAAGAAATTTTTTCCAGGTCAGGGTATGGACCAGGCATTTGTTGATCCAAATAAGACATCAACAAATCAGAACCAAGAGAAGGTGAAGAGAGAGAATGGGTTGTTGGGCAAGTCCAAGAATAAGAAGAAAAATGAGATTTTTGAAGTGGGTCATGGAGATAAGGGGATTTCAGATGATTTAGACAAGAAGTTGGTGTTTTTCGAAGAGAGTGGTGATTTCAAGAAGGATTCCAAGAGTGGGGGAAAGGTGGATGTTACAGAGAAGAAAGTAGAGGAGTTCTTCAAGTGTTTGAAGAAGGTGCCTAATGCTGGAGAGTCTTTGATTGGGGAGCCATATTTTTTGAGTAGGACCTCAGAGTTGCCTCCTAGATGGGATGGCCCTTTTGGCACGGTGGTCTTGATTGATAAACCCAAAGGTGAGGTTCAGTTTATTATCCTCTCCCTTCAAGTTTGTTTAAGTTTATGGGATTTTGTAAGTAATTTTCTAGTTTATTTTCTTTGGAACCCTTCGTCTTTTATGTACACATATTGCATTGAAATAATCTGAAACTTCAAATTATTATTTGCTTCTACCTCATTCGAATTTTTTTGAGATTATGTGATTTTCTAGTTATCCGGTGTAGGTTACTCTTTCTTTTATTTGCACATATTGTGTTAGAATAAACTGGAGCTCCATTTGTTACCCACTTCTGTTATTCAAAATTTGTGGGTTGGGTGATTTTTCAACTAATTTTCAAGTTACATTGCTTTGGATTACTCTTCCTTTATGGACACATATTGCAGTAGAATATCCTGGAGTTGCCTTCCAACTGAAAACTTGTTCGAAAATGGTGTTGTCTGGCAGGATACTAAACTCAAACATTGCATATGTTGCTCTTGAGTTTCCCTTCTATTTTTGTTACATTTTCCTTTGGGAAGCTCCGCAGAAATTAAATTCAAAGAAATTTAGATTGGTTTTCTCTTGTCCCAGCTTTTCTCATTAGGCACTTGATAAACTTGAAAACTGTGGGAGAGTAAAAGGTGAAGGATCTTTAGATTCTAAGTGGAAAGAGTGGAATATGCATGCAAGATCATTTGGAAATGCCATATGTGAGGATCAGCTAATATATGCGGATTCTGATCTCAATTGAATTAAATAATGAAGTATTTGTTTGTGAATTTGAATTGCCCAAATCATGTTTTTTTTTTGTTTTGATACTAATTGCCCAAATCATGTTACTTGATGAATTTTAGTGTTTAGCCAGGACCTTGCATATACATGTTTGGATTCCACTCAAACATTTGCTTATATAATTATGGCAGCAAATGTGATATCTCCAGAGTGTAGGATATTTTTTTAAGAGAAGCGCTTCATAACTACTAAAAAGAAAAAACAGAAGGAAATGTGTGAAACAGTTTCAGAAGGCTTGTGAATTGCGATGCATTAAAGAGTAATACAAGAGGATTATAAAAAAAGAAAAAGTAATAGGAGAGTTAAAGAAAGAAAATAATGAAAGAGTTGATGAGGAAAGGGAACATGTTAGTTGAAGTTCATTCTTGATGACTTGATGAATAGAGTTTTGTGTCAAAGAATCTGAATATAGCGTAAATAAGATGTGTGACTAGTTAGGATTGATTCCGTACTTACAATCAATACTCATATCAAGACAGTAGAAGCAATGTAGCGGGAGGTTTTGGTGCCTTGTCATGGGTGTGCCAGTTTTCATGCAATATTGAAATCTTAAGTCTGATTTGAAATATATCGGGAATCTTAGTTTAAAACTTCCATCATATCCAAATTATGTTGAATCTTACTCTCTATTCGATGCTAGTTACTGATCATTTCAATTTCCCCAACTCCCAAAGAGAACAGATCTTCTAGAAATTTAACATGCTTTACATCCCAATAGATGTGAGTTGCCAAAAGATCTTCTAAATTACCAATAGTTCTCTTCTCATGTTGAGATGCAATTTGTGATAAATGAGTTAATTATATAACATGAGTTATCTGCTGAAACAGGATGGACTTCATTTACTGTTTGTGGAAAGTTGAGGCGCCTGGTCAAAGTTCAGAAGGTCATCATCTATAGACTCTAATTCAGCTTCCATGATTGTATAGTTTTTTTTATTTTCTTCTTCATTTTCTTGTCTGCATCACAATGTTAATCTGGGGTTTGCTTTGCAGGTTGGTCATGCTGGTACTCTTGATCCTATGGCAACTGGTTTACTGATTGTTTTTATTGGAAAGGCAACAAAGCAGGTAGAAAGGTATTCTTTAGTTTTTCATGTCCTGAATTCGGTTGCAGTTTTTTATTTTTAGGATATGAAATGCAAATATACTATTTGGACACATAAAATTAGAAATATCTCGGGCTTAGAAAATTTTACTTGTTTTGCTATGGTCTTATAACTGTAGCATGTAATCAATTTATCAATGAGCTTAAATTAATGAAGGATAGAGAAAAGAAAGGAATTTCCTTTGTCTGTTGTTTAGGGCGATTGGGACTCAAACCTAACCTGCAGAGTAGCTGCTGAGGCCCCTATTCGCAAAACCACTGAGTGAAGAGTCGAGTACTGCCCCTCAACCACACCAAGAAAAGCTAAAAGAAAAAAAAACTCTCCATTGAGGGCCGCAAAAGGCCCTAAAAAACGAGGGCCTTGACAAGACTTGGCCAACAGCTCTGCTCTTAAAACAGAAAATAAAATAAAAGAGAGAAAACCTGAACCCCCAATTATTTCTCATATGTTTTATAACTTTCTTGTGTTTACTTTAGGGGTTCCCTTTGTTATCTGTTATGTGTTTAGATTATTTAAACAGGTTAAGTGTGATTGCATTTTGCAGATATCAGGACATGATAAAGGTTTATAGTGGTATTTTCCGATTGGGGGAAGCTACATCAACTTGGGATGCAGAGTCACCGGTCAGTTATTGGTCTCAACTAATTTTTGCTGGTATCAGAGTTTCGAAATAAATTGCTACCTGTAGCGATCTGTAGTTGCATGCTCAATTTCCAATGTCTTTGGATGAAGCTTTTATCATCAATTGGGCACACTGGATTGCTGCTTGATGACGGGTCACCTTATGTACCACACTTGTTTTCCATTTTCTGCCACTGTTTCAACTATTTTAAAAAAAGAAAAGAAATGAAGAAGCCCCTACATTTTAATGGGTCAACCTTCAAAATATATAATTGGCTACATAGTAAACTACTGAAATATAGTTATAAATTATATAGATTACATATGATCAATAGTTTCTTGGATGCCTGATTATTTGAAAAATGATAACATGTGTCATATTGGACTCCTTGATTAAGAGAAATTTTAGTGTAGGTCATCCAACGAGAGCCATGGGAGCATATCAAAGATGAGGATATTAGGAAGGCTGTAGCATCTTTCAGTGGGGAGATATGGCAAGTTCCCCCAATGTTCTCTGCGATAAAAGTAAGCTGGTCATGTTCAACCTGGAAGTAAAGCCTTGCAGTTTAGATCTTTAAAAACATTTTTCTTCAATGTGCTTTTATTTGTAAGCAACAGGTTGGAGGTGAAAAGCTGTACGAAAAAGCAAGGAGAGGAGAAACAATGGAACTTTCCCCTAGAAGAATTTCAATTTTTGAGTTTGACATTGAACGTAGCTTGGATGACAGGTTTGTGGATCTTAAGTTTTGACCTTAACTGTCAGGGCATTCTATTTCTTGGGATTCAACATATATGTGCCTCTGTCCTGCCTAGTTTTTATGAAAAAGAGAATTATATTTAATGTCTGGTAATATGCTTCTTTTAATTAATCTATTTTATGCAATATCTCCAGCTAGCTGGAAATTGACGTGTCTGGCATGGCAATTTAAATATGTAAAATCATTGTTAATATGATATTATTCAAGTTAGGATGATTTAAAAGATAGATCTCTACAGATGTTGATCACTTTTATCTCCAAACTAAAGGGCTAGGTTTTTTAGATGTCTCTGTCAGCCCAGCAAATTCTTTACAGGATTGGTAACATCTCTGAGGTGACCATTGTGTAAAGCAGCAGAAGCTCACAATCATTTAATATAACTGAGAATAGAGAAATGATTTTGGAGGCATGGATTGAACTATTCTTAGGGATAACAAGCTTTCTATGTGAATGGATTTTTTCTTCTAAACGACCTTTTGAAAATGATTGTTTTCTGCACCTGTGGTTATTGTTGAGCTCATCTCTGTGGGCAGTTCTACAAATTCTGAACAACTTTGGGAATTTAGTAATGGCTGTAATCTGCTTAATGTTAATGGTCGTTTCCATTCTATCTTTTGCTTGTAGTGCTTGACTTGAATTGTGTTACTCTTTGTGATTTACGTTTCAGATTGGGCACTAAAATGATACAAATACTTGTGAAATTTATGTCATTTATACTATTTGCCAGCTTTTCATAAGATATAATCCTTTCTATCCTCATCATGGAACCTTCTCCTACATGAACCTTGTCAAAATGATATTTCCCTTGATTATGCTCTAGTTAATGTCACAACACATTTGAATTGGTATGGCTACAAAGTGCATATGTTATATTACTTTGGTCATGCTCTTTGAACTTAGTCACCCTCCTTATAGTATTAGATATTTTGGCATGTTAATTGTCAGGTGAGTGAGATTACTAAAATGAACTAAGGTTGCCAATTAGTTTCGGTCCATACCCTGCTTGCCAAAATTGACTTCTCCAGAAATGAGTCAGCTCAGCCAAGGCATGCGTACCACAATTTCTTAGGGAAAATAACCCCCTATGACTCAGGTCAGCATACTATGCTTCAAGTTGGGCAAGTACCTTTTCCAGTTTTCTTATGGGCAACCTGCTATTGAGAATCCCATCTGTGGCAATCTTTTGCGAAAATTAACTAATGTGGTTATACAATGTCGTAATGTGGTTACACAATTTCATAATCATGAATTTGAATTTGCTTTTAAGATGCCAGTTTTGCACCATGAATAATCTTGAAGTGCATTCCCTCAAGGGGGTTTATGAATGCGTCATTTTATCAGCATATGTGCATTTCTTGCTCATGACATTCCTAAATTCCTTTGGATTGAAGACCTTAAGTAGGTCATAGCTGCCGCATATGCATTCTTAATGTTCTAACAGTACAATGTAATTTCCTAATTTGCATTTTCTGCAAGATGCCTAGTGAGCTTTGCTGAATTTTCACTCGCTCAAATGAAAGGAGTGCTGTTTTTGGATATCTTGTTCATATTCGCCTTAAATTTTTTTGTTCGCAGACAAAATTTAATCTTCAAAGTCACCTGCTCAAAAGGGACATACATTCGATCACTATGTGCAGACCTGGGAAGGGCCTTGGGGAGGTATAGCTTATTAAGGACTATTAAATAGTATGTGTGAATAATTTTGTGCATTGCCTTAGAGGCTTAGATATGTGTAGTTTTGACATCCTGAAATTGCTTAAACAACAGTGCCTTCTCTCTTTGGTGAAGTGTTGTGGTGTGACTTCTTGTCGCCTTCCCATTTCAGTTTATTGCCCTTGTTTATGATCACTGTTTATTCCTATGATTTAATATCACTAAATGTTAAATATGTTATAAATTGTGACACTCGAAAACAATTAGACATGGTTCTCTATGCTCATGCTACATTAAATGCTCTTAAGATGCTTGCAGCTTGTTTCAATTTTTCAAATTGCGATACTGTATATCATTGATTACTTGGTTATAGTTCGTTTCAATTGATTATGGATGATTGCTATTTATGGGAAGTAGATTGCCAGTTGTCAAGAGGTTGCATAAGTAATTCGATTCTTTGTTTGATGACTTTCACGTCATCATCATCATTATCAAAAGCCATTTCTCAATTAATTAGGGTTGGCTACACGAATCTTGGTCCGTCATTTGCTCTATTAAGGTTATACCCTTAGTGAGGCCATAAGTCCTCGTACCTTTTCTCACTATATGTTCTTTTGGGCCTATCCATTACCCTTTCTGAGTTTTCCACTTGAACTAACCCGCACCTCCTAATAGGAATTGTACTGGGTCTTCGCCACTTATGGCTAGCCCACCTAAGTCTACTTTCTCTTATTGCCGTATTCGTGTAACACCTAAATTCTCACGAATGTATTCATTTCTAATTCTATCCCTTATTGTCTTGCCACTCATCCATCTCAGCTATACTCATTTTATGGGTATTTTGTTTCTTGACAGCCCTAGCATTCCGCCCCATAAAGCAAAGGTAGTCTCACATCTATCCTAGAGAACTTGCCCTTCAGCTTTATTGGTATATGGTGATCATATAACACTCCGGTTGCAGATCTCTACTTCACCCATCTAGCACTAATTCTATGTCCAGCATCTTTCCTCAATCTCTCCATTTTTCTAGATTATTGATCCAAGATAGTGAAAATGCTCTCTTTTGGGTATTTCTTGGCCTTCTTACCACTTCCTCATCTCTACTCTTATTATTATTAAACTTGTATTCCATATACTATGTTTTAGTCTGGCTAATTTTAATACTTTTAGAATTTGGAGCATCCTTCTAAAATTCTAACTTCGAGTTGATGCCGTTTCGGGTCTCATCGATCAAAACTATGTCATCAGAGAATATCATGCACCACGGTACCTCATGTTACTCGGGGCTGCCTACCTAACACAACCCACCCCTTTTACTTGGGCTTGGGACAAGTTAAAGGGAAAGTTTAAGGTCCTCACTCTTCTTAGACCATGATAACTTTCACATATGAGGGTGAATATGCTCAATATGGAGAATATGGAAATAAATTGTGTTTAATTTATAGGAGAATATAATCCCTTACATAGAATTCATAAGGTAAAATTGACACTATTTTTGCATTTTGTTAAACAAGTTCCCAAGCTTTCTATGGGACAAATACATTCAAAATACAGAAATGAACAAATTGACTAAATTATTACAAAGAATCAAAGCATCCGAAGACCTAATATGCGAAAAAGAAGAGAGACTTGAGAGAGAGAAGATTGGACAGGTATAGGGTGCAGAATTTGTAAGTGACTAAATTTTTGTTTTCAAGTTGACCATGTAGAAATCAAACTTTAAATAGTTATTCTGTCTTGAAGTTCATGTTTTGCTTGAGACTAGAGATATTGAACTTTTACATTATTTTATGAATTGGATGGGGTACAACTCTTACTGCTTTGTATTGTATGTATGCAGTTGTGCTCATTTGATCGCCCTTCGAAGAGATCAAATTGGTTAGTGTTGGGATTTTCTTCTTTAGTTGTTTGGCTCCTGGTCTATTACTTTTTTCTCCATCATCATGAAGCCTGTGAACTTATTTTAACTGAAAGGAAAAAAAAGGCTTAAGGAGTTCCTTATACTATGTTGGGTTGGTCCTGACAATGGGTTCTATATATTTCTGTCTCAATAAGGATGCTATCTCTTTTGATATATAAAATGGCAAATGAGCCTTCCACGTCTAAAAGCTCTTAATTTGTTTACATTTTATGTTTTAAGTGCATGTGAATAACATACCCTTTTTATTTTTCAGGACAATATTCAGCAGATAATGCGTGGAATTTCGACGAACTACAAGACCAGATAACCAAGAACTACTTGTGACAGACATTCTACCAAGATTTATGCATTCACCAGTATCCTTTCTGCATTCAATACATCAATCTGCATCTGTTTTGTTAAGGGCGGGTTTGGATCCACCGAGAGTATTGTGACTAACAATAAGCACAACAAATGCAAACAAGTTATTTTCATGAGGCCAAATGGAGTTTAGGGACTTATTCGCAGGGGCATGGCTTCAAATGGGCATAGTAAAATGTTGTATAATCATTCCCTCACTGATTTAAATAAATGTGGCTAGTGGTCAAAACATACAGTACCCAATTGTAGGCATGCAGAAAGAATTGTTTTAATTATACGAATCATGAAATTCTGGCCAATTACAGACCATTACGACAAATTTTGGGTGGCCTAAGTCAAGTTTTGTCAAGAATTTGGAAGGCATTCTCAACCACGTGGGCACGCACACAAACACACCAGGATGAATATAAGATCCAAAAACAATTCCGGAGTAAAGAAATGCACTTAACAATGGGGAGGACTGACATTGCAGTAGTCAGCTTCATGACACAATTTTTACCATATACACATTCATTCTGTATTATCAAAATTCTGTATTATGACGTGTCCTACCCTATTGCAGAAAGGTTTAGGTTAAAGACCATGTGAACGGTCCTTAGTAACAAAAGTGTTCCCTGAAAACCTGCCCACCTTAATAACGGCAGGCGCAGTTTAGTAAAAGGTTCACTCCTAACATTTTGACACCCATCTGTTTAGATTACTTGGCATTGGATATGAGGTTGGTTCCAAATGGGTAGATGGTACATTGCTCCTCAGTAAGTCATATTAAGGTGATTTTTTTTGTTTAATAAAATCTTGTGCAAGTAGAGGTGTTCCAAACCCCACCGTATCCAGTGTTTGGAGCCCTCCCTGGTCCTCATAAAACCCAAGCTTTTGTCTAGCTTGTAGTGACCATCTCAAACATAGGGGTTGCATTACCAATATCTGGATACCATGTAGGCAAGAGGGTGAATCGTTCAGTCATCCCCTTCTGTACTGCCAATTTGGCGGGGGACAATGGGCCGGATGGCCCAGCCTAGTCAATCCGGCCCTAAAAAACTACGGCCTGCGCCACTTGTGTGGCCCAAGAAGTGGGCCAGAGCTAAGCAACCATGGCCAAAGGGTAAGGCCTGCCAAGTTCGGCCTGGCCCAACCCTATTTTCCTGTTTTTTTTCCTTTTTATATTTTTTTAGTTCTATTCGGCCCAGCCTGGGCCTCTTTAGCCCAACAAGGGTCTGCCCTATGGGAATTAGAGCTGGGCTAGGGCCACTCAGTCAGCCCGTTGCCAGCACTGCCCATTTGGCATTCCTATGCCTAATCTGGCTCAAACGTGAAGGTAGAAACTTTCTGGTTCTCGGGCTAAGCTACCCTATATCCCCGGCAAGCTCAAAGAGTAATCACCAATCGAAAAGAAAGGCCTAATAGATCCACACCTCAAAATCAAAGGTTGCAAGGACATGTGATTGTTAGAGGCCTATTAAGAGAACATCTTGATTGTATCGTGGAAACCTGTGCTCATTTAAGGGAATTTGAAAATTGATTTGCTTGTTTCATACTGACCCCAAATCGTTGCGATAAAGTGTGAATGATGATGATCATTTGTTTGTTTCAGGCACTACACATCCACCTAATATTAAACAAAAATTTTAAACTTAACAACAAAATTTGGGAAAATACCAGCTCTCTAAAGTTGCAAAAATTGGTATGTGAGTTTGAATTACTCTTAATACTTTCCTGATGAGCCTTTATCATTAAAAAAAGGGGAGATTAAATTATATGAAAAATTACTACATAAAAATGACATTCTACAATCACCAGTCAGATTCCACCCTTAAACAAAAATTCTCCTACAAAGCTACGAAAGTAAACAAATCTTCAGTGTGCTTTCGAGATATTGGGTTGAGGTAACCCCATCTCTGCAAAATACGCCTTCTCTGCATTCTCCATTCGACCTTGAAAGATAGCCCACTCTTTTCTGCACCTCTCCCGAACCTGAAACATTCAAACCCATAAAAAATGGTGAAAAAGATAAAGAGAAATCTCATTACCAGATAAAATGCAATTTCATTTGTATTGTAGTATATGATCCTCAGTTTCAAAGTCACATACTCCTTCCCATGGTGCTTTACCATTGTCCGACTGCCCCTGCAATTCCATAAAATAAAAAATGACACGTCAGCTTAAACTGCAGCTATAACGCTCCGACATGGCACCAAAAAAGAAAAAAGCACTATATAATATGGTCGGAGGATACCAAATTTCAAGCCAAATACCCCATAAGACATTGGCCAATGGCAAACTTTCCATAAAATTGAGATATTGAGTTACCTGGTTTCCAAGCGAAGGAACAACTTGATGCACTATCCACTGAGAGTCCACCACACCTATTTTCTCATGTGCAGGCTAATGAAACAATACAAATCAGAGTTTAGATACCAATAGTCAAAAAGGACTATGAAAGTTCAACTAAAGATTTTCTTTTTCTTTTTCTTTTTTCGCTTTTGTTAAGTTGGTTCCAACACAATATTAAGCCCGCAATGACAATTTTTCAAATCGACCTATGGGCTAGCACCCAAGTTTTGGACAACGTTGTACCAGTCAACCAGCAAATATTGCTCCCCCCTAGTTTTGCTGTCTATTGTAAAATTAAAACAAAAGGAAATGATTGGTGTACTCACCTCGACACATTTTCTTAGAGCAAAATCCAATCCCCATCCATGAACCAAGTCATTCTGCATTTGAAGAGTTCCACCATATATAATGACATAGCCAAAAAAAAAAAAGGTGAAGAAACAAAAGCTTGGGTATTTATGCATTTAGAGAAACAGACATGAAACAAAAGGGCAAGCATTTGTAGTATAAATTAAAATAAGAGATGTTAAGCTCCGAACCTGAATCATATGCCAAACGCAACGCCAAGCATCACGAGAAAACACTGGCGCCATTATCTCAACGAAGCTGGAGATGATAGTATTGCCAAAGACAAATGTGTCAGAGAACAGATCAAAAAGTTGGAGCTATTGAAATAAGGATGTGGTTTTCATAGGCTCATGGCTTTTATGAAATTTGGTAAGACTGCACCTCAATACCCCATCAGGAAGTATAGTTCTGACACCAGAAAATCTTATCATGGCCTGCAAATCCATTTCCTCCCTTGACTATAGAATTTGAAGCTCCAAAAACAATGCAGATCTGTAAAGGCTTGAAATGGATGGCCCAAACAAAAATGTTGCTAGATGGAACTTTTTTAAGGCTTGAAATCCATGCCTTTCTTTTTTCAGATCTATGATCATCAATGAGGAAATGATCGATTTGCAGGCTTTCCATAGCCGGAACTATATTTTCCGCCAAAAATTGCAAGTGCACCTGTATAAAGCCATGGCTTTACAAAAGAATCATGATAAGAAAACAGGTTAGTGAAACAAAATAGAAAAACTTAGAACACAAATGGGAGACGATTCATACGCTGCACATGGTGGCAAATGGGGATCACTGCACCAGCCAGGCCTTTCCTCTGTTTCTCTGATAACCAACAAGGCAATGCTCAGCAAAACTTCAGAATATTTAACACAACCCATGTAAAGTTCTAAGAGCGCATCCTCAGAAGAAAAAGTCGAGATAATAAACAAACGAGTAGCAAGTGAAATAGGAACTCTCTCTATTTTCTAACCATTGATTTTAGACACTTACGTATGCACTTCGCTATTTCCTCTTCTTTTTGTCATCTGCCATGTCAACCCTCTATTGGGATCCAAACCAGGCTGTGAAATCTCCAGACCATGTTTTCTTATCAGCTCTATGTACCTGAGAAAAACTACCCATTCGGTATCCAGCTATGTTACAGCACAAAGGCAAGAATATTCTTTAGTCAAGTATGACCTTACTTTTCTGCATTGAAATGCTCAACACCTAGATCTTCATCCCAAATGAATATGTAGTCATATGGGGCTACGATGTCCGGGTGCAAAAAGCGCTTGGCGTACCACCTTCATAACAAGTAGATGAGAACTAGTATCTAAGGCATATTGAAACAGAAAAATAAGAGCAGAAGATAAATGAATAGACAAAATGGTAGGCAATAGCACAAAAATAAATCATGTACATAACAAAAATTAAAATACAACATATTTGTAAATTTCCCTATGCAGTGTCCTATATTTTGGAAGGTGATTGTAGATAACTACAAATTTACCTCTTAGCATATTATCAAGTGCATTGTTATGTGTAAGAAGAGAAAGGGACATCATGGCTAACAAGATGCATGTTATGATCAAGAGTCTCAAGAAGCACGTGAGGTTCATTTGGAGAAATGGAGCTCCTTCAATTATTTTCAGAGAATAATGGGAATGAGAATAAGCAGGTCAAAAGATGATTTAATACAGTTTCATAACATATAGAATCCTAATTAACTTCTGTTGCTCAACAATAGGGGTGGCCATGGACCCGGACCCGATCCGAGACCCGACGGGTATACCCGACACGGGTCTAGGTATGGATCCAAGTTTTGGACCCGCAAGTAGGGTCCAGGTCCAATAAATGATACCCGAACAATCCCGGGTACATGTACAGGTACGGCTATACCCGACCCGGCGGCTACCCATACCCGTAGTTATTATATATAATTTAACCTTAGTTTTTTCCTTTGTATATGATTTAATTTTTTAAACCAACTTTAATCCCCCCTGCCCTCTTTATAGAGCTTACACCCCAAAGATTCGGATGAGGGATTAATCCCACACACTATTAGTAATTATTGGGAAGTCTAATGATCCATTAGTAACAAATTTCTCTCCTTCATTTCATTGCATTGGATAATTAAATGCACGGCTTTGGTGCTTAGGTTTTCATGGAAATAGAAATAGAAATAGAAAAAGAATAATGACAAAGGAGAATAAACTGTGTGGCTTTGGTGGCAGGCCTTAAATGTGTGGCTTTGGTATAGGTGGGGCCCACACGTAATGAGTTGGTGCATGGGGCAATTAAATGGGATGGCATGGCAGTGCTTTCAACAAGTTATACACACCTCAAAGAAAATGTAGAGAGAGAGAGAGTAGGATTAGTCCCAAATCAAAGAGGGAAAATTTACAGGAGTGTAAGAACTATAAAAGGGGTGGGGGAGATTGAAGGCAAACACATAACTACTCAAGAAAAGCATATCGGGTCTGGGTCCGAGTCCCGAGTCCGAGTCCTAGGTCCTTAGTACCATCTCGGGTATGGGCCCGGGTCTCATATTTTTGGACCCGTTGGGTACGGGTCCACAAGTAATGGTTTGGGTACGGGTACGGGTCAAGCAGGACCCGACCCATACCCGACCCGTTGCCCGCCCTATCAGACAACCAAGTTTACGCCAATAACTGAAATTTATGGATATAATCAACCAAAACGGGAAACTGTTGGAGCTCTAATATAGAAATTACAGATATCAATATTTGTAATAATCAGCACGAAAATAAAGGAGTCATTAGCTTACCACTTTGTTTGTCTCCTTGCGCTCACATGAATAGCCCTCCTTGACCACTCGAACTCATCCCATTCACTTGTCCTTCCATCGTAGTGGAAGAGCAAAATAGTAAAATTTTCTGAGAACTGTAGATATAAAAGCCACTTATATGCATTCCAAGAATGAAACTGCAAAAATAATTAGAATGACTCGGCCAAAAAGCTTTTTCCTCTTACCTTTTTAACTGCTGCCTCAATATTACTTTTCTGATCATATCCCACAGTAAATGTCACCAGATACTTTTGTTTAACGGTCAAGTCCTGAAAATGTTTGTACAACACAAGGTTAAAACAAAAGTAATCCAGATTTAGGCAGATCATATCAATGTCTCAGAAAATAACAATAGATTATTTAGCAGACATGTCACTGTTATACTGACAGATCTTTTTCTGAACAGACTTTTCTTACTTTTCATCACCTTTGGTTCAATTTATCAGAGTCTCTTTTTTTTTGTCGATTAAACGCCATGACAAGATTACAGAAGATCAGAGAAGTCATAATTGTAAATATGAGTAAACAGGATTTCTTGTCTTTATGTTAATTCTATCTGCATATACCCAACATAACCTCTGTACAGAGGTACCAATAAATATAAGGGATCTAATTCCTCATTCTCAATCAAGGAAAGAGAATTCCTCCCAGTTTTGCCCAGATTACTATGGTATCAATGCCTCCCCCTTACTTAATCTGAAGCCCTTGAAGTTTTAATCACTTGTCTATGTCTACCCTGATGTTTTCAATTTCAATTCATTCAAGATTTAAGATGTCCTGAATTCAGTTTTTACCTTAGAAAAGTAGTGTAGTGAAACTCATTTTTCAGTTGACCCTTCTCAATTATTCCCTGAAAAGTAGTGTAGTGAAATTCACTCTTCAGTTCCCTTCTCAATTATTCCCTGCATTAACCTCAGGCATGCTTAATTTTTGAAGTATATGAACCATATGATTTAAAATTTAGGATTTCCTTTTAGAGACATGGAGAAAATACAAACAAGTGGCTGAAATGTACACTGTAATGAGTCATTGAAGATCCATAATCACACATTTAAAAAGCAATATTTGCACATTACAATGAACATCATAATTGAGGCTGCAATCACAAGCACGCACCTCACTAGGCTTACCCCACAATCTCCGAAGGTAATAATCTGACTCAGATGCAATAATTCCGGGGGGTAGTGTCTCAGCACCACGGGGATTTGTTGGAATGTATATCTGCATCAAAAGTTTATATTAAGTATGTATTGCCTTTGATGTTATTATAATAGTGAAAGTTAATCTCCCAGTCATCTAAAATGGAAAATATTTGCACGTTATCAACAACTGAAATGGTAATCATGTGAATTACCAATAAAAAAAGAAACAGTAATCATGTGCTACCATCAAGTCAATTCTGAAAACAAAATTTAAAAGAAAGGGTAAGTTGCTTGGTTTGTCTTTTGGAAGCAAACTTCAAGGGTTGAACCCTTAACCTCATGCTTACACACCCAGGGTGATCATTTGATGCTGAAACATCAAAACGAGGAAGTTCTAAATGGAAAATAGAAGGTTACAAGCCATGTATTCGTCTTTTGCCATGCTAGTAAAAATAGTTGTTGATGGACACACTGCAAAATGCTTCGCACATTCCTTAGTCTTTAGTCTTGAATTGGGATTGGAGCATATCCAATCTCAAAGACTACCTGCTTAAACTTGAAAGAACAGAGCCTACTAGAATACCTAAAAATCTTTAAAGTACCCCCAAAGTTGTTTAGAATTGACAAGAGTTACTTAGAAGAGAAGTATAGCTAAAAAGAATCACATGGGTCCAAAACAAATGGAAGGAAGCCATTGTCATAAACAGAGAATCCTCACAAAGTAAATCACCCCTTGGAAGATAATGATTATATAATGTAAGCTTGTCCATTTCCATCAGTATACATTCTCTCGCTTTGTACAAATACACAATTATTTTCAGCTGACAAGTAACCACAACTGCACTGGCCCTTGTTCACATGAAAAGAGGCTTATTACCAGAGAGCCTGATTAGCAAGAACAAGGATCACATACATTGAAAGCGTGTATACAGTGTGACAAGACTGTTAGATGAGGTCCAGATAGAAAAGTACGTTGATCTTCCTAAATCATACCTAGAGTGGACTAGACTTTCAAAAGAGAGCTTGAAAAGTTACTTAAACAACTCACTCTCGAAGATAAATAGGATAAAGTTCATAACTAATGGTGCAGTCTTGTGGTAGAAGTACATAACTCAAGCCTTTGAAGATTTGCAAAGAAAATTAAGATGCAATTTCAGACCAAGAACATAGAAAACTTGGAAAGCGTTTTAAAATATTTGAGCCCAAAAAACATAGAATAAATTGAGTAAAGCAGTTTCGCGACCTATTTGACACATTATTAAGAAGTAACAAAGATGCACTCTTTGCTTCAATGGATCGGAGATAGTGGTTGGATGGACAACAATGCAAACCCAGGAGCATAAAACCAACAATCAACCTTAGTAACTACATGGACAAATTAGTATTCAGGCAAACAGACTCCATATTCTATAAAATCACATTACCATGGCTTGGTTGAGTGACGGGAAACGGTAAGCCATTAGAATTATTTGTTTCAGCAGAATCTACCGTAAGAGTTATTTCTAGGATTCAATAGCAGGTGTCATTTAAAGAACATAAAAAGGGACTGATTTCAAATCCCAGATACATATCATGCAAAGAAAGATCTAACTACTTATACACATCAACGTGCAAGTTCTTTGTGGAGTTCCTTCTATGGACCTCTTGGGAAGCCTACCATATCCTTTTCTGGAACGTGAGAAGTATATCATCAAATAGACCTTTAGCTAACCATACTTCTCAGATAATGTTTAAAAAAAATACACTTTTCAGGAGTTTTTGAAGATTTTTAGAGAATAGGCAAAATAATACACTTTTTAAGGGACCAAAACAGGAAGCAAACAAGATTGTAAGTAAACCTTAAGAATCACAATGAGATAATAGATGCTGATGAGGGGAGACAGTGAGGATAAGGAACTCAAGCCAAATAATGTATTAAAAGATGTGCAGATTCTGGTCAGCGTAGAGACTCACTTGAGAAAAGTGAATCAATTGTTCAGGAAAGAAAAAGAGTTTTCATAAAAGGTGCTTCTTTGTTCTTTGACGTGAAGTTATCAACAACACAATCACAAACCAGAAATGCATGCAGACTACAGGTTGTGTAGCATAGAACTCTTAGAATGTTAAGTTAAGGCCAAGAAGGACGCCCCAACCTCTTTCTAATTAAGCTACAATACTACCTTCCCTTTTCATCAGAATGAGGGAAAAAATATTGGAAAAGGAAAAAGAGATGAGAAGTAAAGAATCATGAACCCAAGAATCATGAAGCAAGAAAAAGACAACCTTGCCATTTTGCGAGGCAATAAGGCCTTATATGCTGTCCCAATTCAGGGTAGATTAGGTATTCCTTAGGACAATGTCCGGTGGCTCTAACTAATGAAGAGCTGTAAATTCAGTCTCTTCCCTAAGATGGAGTGAATCCTCTGAAAACTTGCCTTTGTCGTGATGAATTGGGGTATATGGCTTGAAACGCATGAGAGGATGTCTTGAGGCAAATTCTCAAGAGCAAGCACTGTTGGGGAACAACTAGAGATATGGTGATCTCCTAGGCAATTATAACTTTTTGGGTAAGTTCAGAGAAGGGTTCCCTACCATGGAAGGAATGAAAATCAAGACATCACGTTATGGCACCCCGTTGACTTGACCACCTAGACTTGGGTAATGATAAGAAACGAGTTTTATGGCATTCATGCACTAGATGTGTTCAGGCACAATTGCAAGTGGTGGGGCTCCAGAAACTAGAATCTACAGTTCAAGAAGTGGCACCCCTCAGGATACTCTAAAGCTAAACTTCAACGGCAGACCTTTCAATAATCTGAGGCCCCCCCCATTGAATGGTAAGCTATTAAGAACCATTTGGTACAAACAACTGATCTATACAGGCCCTATAGGTAATAGAGATAGCACCCAGAGGCATATCTCGTGGGTATTGGAGTTTATATACAAACTTTCTCCAATCCATTAACTGTTGAAGGTGATTCCTCAAAAGTCATTTGATGAAGCATGGGTGAGTCCCCACTTTCCTTGGAAGTCTGCAAACACTGTGAAAGAGATTCAGGATCTATGTCACGTCAGGCTTGTGTCACTTCAGCATATTCTTAAGGCTGAAATGAAGTTGTGGATGCTTTAGCCAAAGCCATAAATAACAGAGAGGGCCTACATGTTGGCCCAAACCCCCTCTTATCTCAGACATTCCCTTCCTAAGGCAGTTTTTTTTTCCCATTGTATAAAAAATAAGCCCATGTTGGCACCTAGTCTGCACCTTAAGGGGGTGGGGGCCTAGGCACCTTGCTTAGGCCGAGGAAGCCCCCCTAAGTGGGCACTCAGGCACCTAAGGTGGGCGTTTTGCGGCTTAGCCAAGGTGCTGGGGCGCTTGTCTCATCTGCCGACGGACCACAAGTGGCCCCTCAACCTCCAAAAGTGGCCCCGCAATCATCATCATCAAAGCCTTTTCCCAACTATTTGGGGTAGGCTACACGAATCCTGATCTGTCATTCTGTTCTATCAAGGGCTATACCCTGAGTGAGGCCATGAGTCCCCATATTTTTTCTCACTACATCCAATCATGAGCCTACTCCTTACTCTCTTTGAATTCCCCCCACCCCCTGCCGCAGCCAAGCACTCTCTATATTAGTTTGCTCTTGCTAAGCAACTTGATCAGCCAAACAATGAAACCACTTAAAAAAGAAATGAAAAAGGATAACATTTATATAATAATTGCATTCTATTTTCAAAGAATGCATGAGATGCCCCAAAAATTATGCTACCCAAATGGAAGGGAAAGATAAGTCTATGATGGAAATTCCTTGCAAATGGAAGTAAATTACTTGTCTTTTGCAAAACCAGCCATTAATCTAGCTACCTGAATAATAGAAGGTTGTAAGTAATTAACAAGATCGTACAATCAGTACATTCATGTGAGGGTTAATTGGAAACAGATTTCGTTTTTTTTTTGAGAATTTATTGGAAACAGATTTCTGAGAGATGTTTGATTGTTACCTTTGTGGAGTTATGATTTTGCATGGATCTGCTCTTATTCATATTTCGTGTTGTCCAAGCATGGTTCAAAAGTGCTTGGGTAGCAATCCCAGAGTCCTTATCCTCGATGAATGAAAGGTCAACAGAAGACAGAAGTCCAGTGGGGAAGTTGAACTGCAAAAGTCAGAAAACAAGATCATGATTAAAATCTCCTCAAACAGACAGCAAATTAAGCTAAGATAATATAACAATGGAATAGGAACATCCACATACCTTTGTTAAAGAAGAAGAGGGGAAGGAAAACCCTATCAAGAAACCAAAAACAACTCCAAAAACAGTAGTAATAATAAGCCTCATAGTCTCATTTGGTTTCCTTAAAAGTCCACTGCAATCCACACATTAAAAAAAGCACATGCAGTGAGACCTAGCAAAGTCCTTCACAAAGAAAGAAGGGTCTCAAGAGTAGCCACACAATTGCATAAATCATTAGAAAAATATAAACAAATTAACAAGGTGTAGACTTTTCAAACCCTCGGTTGTTGGTCCCCATTTTCATGATGACTCTTCAAATCTTCTCACGTCACAAAACAGCAATGTCTTTCCATAAAAAATCCAAACCACATCATTTAATTAAACAAAGTTTGCAGCTGCCAGTGCCTCAAATAAGAAAGGGAGTCTAATTGCAGGGTTTACTTGCTTCTTTATAGGCAAAGTAGTTCAAGCTTGAAACTGCATCATTATAAATCAAAGTACCATTCAGAAAATTACTTCCCGTAAGTCAAGTTAGCATATGTTACTGGGCATGATGATAAACACATAAAGTGAAGTAACATCACAGAAACAAAGAAGGACCACATTCAAATGAACTGCTACAAAGCATGAGGCAACGAAAGTGGAGATGATGGCAATCAAAGAACCACAAGTAGCAGTACCAGAAGAACATTTAGATAAAACAAAAAGAATATGCATGAAAAATTGCATCAAGTAGTCTTTTACAGATGACAGCAGCATTGGCAAAAAAAAGTGCCATTCTTTATGTATATAATCACTGTTTTAAGCACTGAAAAAAAAAATCTTGAAAATCATATTGAATTATGTTGACCTGCTGAGAGATGATGCACGTGCTTTAAGTAATAAATACAGGTTTAGCAAGAAGGGGTACTCTCACTGTCTAAAAGAAAAAAGGGAAATAAGAAATTTGGGACTTTCATAGGTCCAAATCAATATGTGGGGTTGTGTAAAATCAACAGGCAAACGGAACAATCATATCACAATTTCCACCACATTGGGAGATTAGGAGAACATATGTTCTCCGATGATCTTCACAGCTCAGAAAATCAAAAGCAAGTTATGCTTCTTAGATGACCTACCAGTCATCTTGGCAATATTATGTCTTTAGTATGATAGGGTTGTTCTCCAAATTTGTGCAACCCCAATGTACTTCATTTTAATGAAATTATCATCACTTTACAGAAAAATAAAAATAAAAAATAGAGAAGGATGCACTTTCAGAATTTCAGCTCCTCCACTTCAAAGAAATTTTCTTTGAAACCAGAAATTGCACTCAAAATTCTAGAAAGAACATATAATAAAGGAAAAATATGTGGTTAGTTGGCCCCTCATGCGTGCACGCTGGTTTTTGAGGGATTTGGGACCTGAAACGCATCCCAAATCACTTTAAATCCATTTTTACCTCAGATACCACAAACATGGAGCTCCAAAAACAATGCAGATCTGATGATTTTTGAAGAATTATAATAAAGGTCCAAAAAAGGTTACAGAATAAACTATTTTGAAGGCTCAAAATTCTTTTTTTCCATATTCATGATCATGGCGGTATAGACAATATGCCTGCATAATTTTGGATCCAAAATCCATCTCCAAGATGGGCTAAGGGAGGCGGGCTCAATGTAACAGATGCACCCCCAGACACACCTACCCTAGATTAAATGGGTAGAATCATCAGTGTTGCCTTGACCACCTACCACCAAATGCTAAGGCATATTCTTTTCCACTCACCTCTACCTTAGATCCTTTCCAATATAAAACCCGAATTCTTAACCTTATGTGGCCCAATACACACTGGAACCCAAATTACATGAAGGAAAACCCAAGTACAACAGTTTATAGTGGCAGGCACCTTATGCCTATTAGATCCCACCAGATGCACATGTGGCAATCTTTTGGCCAGATAGAGCTTCATAATCTCAGGAATGCCTATTAGATCCCACCAGATGCACACGTGGCGATCTCTTGGCCAGATAGAGCTTCAGAATCTCAAGAATGACTTTAATTAAAGTCAACGCAAGATGAATAGGTATACATCACATAAAGTGCGAACAAAGATATAGTGTCATATGCAAACCAAATATGAGAAAATACTTCCCTTTCCCTTAAGCTAGAAAATTACCGAAAAGAATTCAGAATGCTCTGCCTTTTAAGCAGCATAACCTGTAACTTTCTAATAATGATTCAAAGGAATGAAGAAAGAGGACCCTAGTGCAAAACTGTAGAAATAGCCAGCGAGGTCATCAAATAGTTTGTACTGGAACGCGCTAACTGCCATCTCCATCTATTACCCAAGCTCAGTATACCCAATTGTCAATCCAAAACCCCAGAATCCACAACTTTGCAGGTCTAATCAATAATAAGTTTTATAGATAACAACAGGGTTGACACTGCAAGATCTAGAAACCATAAGTTTGTGGGCCAAATCTAACTCCCCTTAACGATACTATCTTATAAGCTTCTTTTCCGTTTTTCTTTTCTCTTTTCATTTCCTTTTTTTCCTCTTTTGATTTTTTGTTTTAGTGTGTGCATGTTCGATAATTACCTTACACGAGGAAAGTCATCACAGGAATAACTTCACTTGGCATTCTTGTTGGCACTTGGCACCAAGCCCATGATGTTATATACACCACCAGTCAGACTTATTGTTCTGAAATCCTTAATGCCATAAGTTCTTTCCCACTAACAGTATTGTACGAATTTAGTAGAAATCACCAAGGCTACATTTGTTTCGATTAAAACCAAAAATTTTTGCTTAGCAAGCTGCTAGAAAACCATTCGATCAGGGATCATTATCAAAATACAAAGTAAAAACCAGTACTTTGTACTTCCTTCACAAAAAATCTCTTTTTTTGGCCATATTCTTTGATTGCTGGACAATATATGGATCTAATCCATACATGGAAGGGTAGATCACAGTTTAACTATGTGAATATTTCAAAGGCAAATGCAATTCAACCTCCACAGCTACTATCATCCACAAAACTGGTTCTTGTTGTCTTTGTAGCTGTGATTGCATTTTCATGTCTGCCAACATTCACCGTGAGGTGGAAAACCTTGGACTTCTATCTTCCCGCAGAAGTCAGAGCATCTTGGACTTTTGGGACCAACAAATAATTCTTAGATTGCAAGGTATTCTAGTTAATCCCTACCTTCAAGAATGACCCCTTCCTCAAGTCTACCCAACAAGCAGATTTCATCAAGAGTTAAAAGCTTTATTGGCCTCCACCAGACAAAGAAAATTTTCTAGATTAGAATTTTTCAGTTTAATAATCAAGAATTCAACTCTCTTGAAAATCTTAACAGTATCGGTCTAAACGCCAAACCCACAAGTTTCACAAATATGTTAATATTCTATAAATGGCTGGTTCTGAAACATTAGAGCTCACAGTGGGATGGATAACAACCACCCCTTCCAATGTCTTGAGCAATGATCTCGTAAGGTCTTAGTTACTAAGATTGACAACTAGATAGTAGTTAAATCAACTAGCAAAAGGCATGCAACCAAATGCCTCATTGTGAAAAAAAAGAAAACGGGGAGAAAGATCATGAATAACAAAACTCTTAACAGCGAGAAAGGTCATAATTAAAAGGAACAAAAAAAGTCCCCTATCAAAAGAGAGCCTCCCCATAAGGGAAAATACCTCACAATAACCACTTTAAACTCATGGATGAAGAGCTTTAGGTATAGGCACCCTTTTCCTCTTTGAGAAATATTCTCTTTGTTTTTCACCAAGAACCAAAACTGTTACTTCCTGTTGACAGGCCTCTTTAGTTAGTGAATCCCCATCCAGTATCAGGGAACCATGAAAAAGTAGGAGAAAACATTAAGGCTAGTTAAAAGGGGCTATCATGGCTTTATATTTGACTATTTGTAATTGTGGAGTTCAAGAAACAACAGCCTTGTAGAGGTCTAGGTAAGATTTGAAGATGTACAAGACACCATATATAATTACAATTCGCAGCACACTTAATGGACTAAGGAAAGTTCTTAGGAAGAGGGAAAATTATTATTGTCTACTGCATCAATGAAACAGAACAATGCCACAATTGCATAATTTCAGTACAGTAACAAGTTCGGAATTCTTTCAAATGAAAGATTGCGACCAAATGATCTGATCCTCTGTTATGACACAAACCAAATTCTTATACTTTGTAGAGTTTATTATAACTATATAGCTTCAAGTTATCAAAATAAGGACCAGAAGTAATCATTAAAGCAAGTTAAATTCATGCTCAGCTGACCTAACTCAAATATTCAGAGCACAATTAAACACAAAATCACAACTGAATGAACCACGAGGGAATGATTTGCAGCTTTATCTCAACATAAGGGAAACAGAACAGCATATTTTCTTTTCTATCACTTCCAAGCTTGCCTTTCATACTCACCAGCAACTACAAAATTTATGATTCCATAAACACAGCTAACAAATCAAGATATTCACGTTGAAATTACTTAGAAAAAACAAAAGCCATGATGCCACATACAATAAAATAGTTCGCTTTTTTGTAAAAACAATAGTTGAATTCACAAAATCAGAGGGAATCACGGACAAAACTACAGCAAAATCACAACTTCGGACTTGAGTGCAATCGAAAACAATAGTTACCTAACAAATATAACCAGGCAAGGACTCTAATAAAGCAAGATCCACCACAGTTATTCAATATTCAATAATCACAGTCAGAGAAGGAAGAACTCATCAAACGAGCTTGATCACTCCAAGAAAGACCGAACAAAAATCAGGAACAAAAGGAACACCCATTAATGAGACGAAAACAAGAAACGATAACCACATGTCCTTGCCTTAACCATCTAGACAAGCGCATGTCAATTACCTATAAATATCGGCTAGTAACAATCTGCAAGTCCTATTGGTTGGACTGAAGCAAAAAACCATGGCCGCGCATCCCCTGATGCCATCAAGAGAAGCCCAAGCCCAATTTCTAGAGAAAGAAGCAATTGACTAGCAAAAACCTGCAAATACAATCAATGGTATTAATGCCCAAAGGCAGAGCTGAACATCCTCATCAAGAAGAGAGAGAAATCCAAGTTGAAATTCAAGAGAGAGAAAATATTGAATAGCAAAAACCTGCAAATATAATCAATGGAAATAAGACCCGAAACCATAGCTACATATCGACATAAAAAATAGAGACAGAACCAAGGAGAGAAACTACAGAACCAAGGAGAGAAACTACAGAGTAGTAAAACACCTGCAAATCTGAGTCGCAAAGGGAGGGGAGATGCCTTGCGCTCATGCCAATTCGATACTTAAAAAGGAAAAACCCAAATCAATGAAAACAAAGCTACATAACAAAACGCGAACCTTATGCCTTACCTCTGCAATTTCACGACTTTAGGTCTCTGAAATCAAGAGAAAGCGAAGGTCCTATGTCTTCCTCGTGAGTAGAGAGAGAGGGAGGTTGGGTTTCTGTGCAGGAATGGAACGAGAAGAGCGTGGTATCTTAGAGAGAGAAAGAGGTTTGGGGGCGTTTGTGTTGATATAAACAAGAAGAGCGTGGTATCTTATTTCGCGGTTTCTTTCTCACTCTTCATGAATTCCACACAGGTGGAGCTTGCCCCTGTAAATCATTTTGTACCTCTCTCTCTCATCATTTGTCATTCATTTCAGATGTAGAGAGAGAAAAACATTGTTTTAAATTTCATTTATTTCTTTACTCCTTTCGCGACAGAGACGTTACTGTTGTCTCGCGGTATCGCACTTTCCATTGGTGGATGTTCTCTGAATGTGTCGTGCTAATGCCTTTCTTTTTTTTATTTTAATTCTTGTGTTTTTGTTTTTTTTTATTCCTATTGTACATTTAATTTCTTTTTGTTCTTACTTTGCTCTCTCTTAAATAACATTACTAAAATTTTATTCATCTTAAGAACTCTTTTTTTTTTTCTTATTCCTTGTTTTTTTTGTGCTCTCTTATTTCCTTATTCCTTTCTTTTTTATTATTGCACTCTCTCCAAACTAGGGGTGGCCATGTGATGCAAATAAATGTGGTTTAATTTTTATTTTATTTATTTATTTTAATAGAAATTGCCCATAGGATAAGTCAAGTTAATGTAGGAAGAGGGAAGATTTTGTGTGTGGTGTATTATCCATCATTGATCGATGGGGTTTGTTAGTTTCTAAAAAATAGGAGTATAGATAGGATAAAGTTAAAAAAAGAAGGTTTATCTGATCAACAATAAGGCAACGCTTTTAGGGGCGGTTTTAAATAAAACATTTAGAAGCAAATCTTTTTGGTACGTGAGGATTAGGGATAAGAAATAAAATATAGGTTAAGAGAGAGAAAATAGGGAGGAGAAATAAAATAAAAAATATATCTTCTTTTTTTAGTCTATTTAGAGGAAATAAGAGATAAAATAAGTTAAGAGATATAAAATAAAAAAGTGTTTATCTTTCTTTTTTAGTCTCTTTAAGGAAGATCTCCCTTTATTCTAAATTGGTAAATGAGTTAATCAAATTTGATCTCGTGATGAGATTATTTTATGGTGGATTCTCTTTTGAGAGAGGGTATATTCTCTGGTCTTGTTTTCTCCCTGCATCATAATAAGACCTGACCTGACTAGACGGGAGACCGGGTAGACCCGACCTTGGTTTCAAATATGGGTCCAAATTTTAGACCCAAAAGGTCGAGTCGGGGTCCAATAGTACCTGACTTGGACCGACCTAAATAATATGGGTATATGTGGGTATTCATAAATATTATCACTCAGTTTGTTTCTTAAGAATTTCCATTACGGTAAGGAATGTGGGTATATGTGTATTCATAAAGGGTGCGGTTTGTTTAGGGTCGAGGCTCTAAACAATAAAATTCGAACCCACCTTTAAATAGTGTCAAGAAATATGGTTTCAATATAGAAAAGTTTTGTGATAGCTGTAAATTATATTTTCATATTTAGTTAAAAAATTTAAAACTTCAAAAATAGTGTAGATTGATGAGATCTTTGAAAATCTTGAAAATTGACGGTCTAAAAATGTGTTACAAGATGCACTATTTCCAAAACTTGAAATCCATTTTTTTCTCATGTCCATGCATCTTGATGTCAAGATGATCTCTTTTTAGTGAAAATTTTGAGATAGGCTTTAATTTGATTGTTTAGAGTCTAGGCTTTTTATAAACTTTCCCATTCATAAAAGGGGTGGTTTGTATAGAGCTAAGGCTCTAAACAATCAAATTCGAACCACCCTCAAATAGTGTTGAGAAATATGATTTCAATACTGGAAGTTTTGTGATAGCCCTAAATTATATTTTCGTTTGTAGTTACAAATTTTAAAGAAATGTTGTACAATACTGTAAATGCTGCCAATAGTATGGCTATATGATGTTAAAAAAGGCAAAAAAAACAACTCATAGGGTGGCAATAGACCCGACTAGACCCGAGATCCCATGGATAGACCTAACCTCGGGTTCGGATATGGGTCCAAATTTTGAACCTAAAAGGTTGGGTCCGGATCCCAAACCTATATATAATGGTAAAACAAGGGCAAAAAAAAAAAAACTCATAGTCATAGGGATGCAATGGACCTAACTAGACCCGGGATCCTGACCTCGGGTCGGGTATGGGTCCAAATTTTGAATCCGAAAAGTTGGGTCTAGGTCCAAAACCTAGACTCGAATACTATTCAGATCTAGGTCGGGATCTAGCTGCGACCTTTTGCCAACCCTATCCTTCTCACGGACTCTCTCTTTCGCTTATTTTCTTATTCTTTTTTATTTTTCTTATCATTTTCTCAACATAATACTGTTTCTATCTCTCTCTTATTTTCTCACTCTTCTCTTTTCCCTCTTATCTCTCTCTTATTTTCTCACTCTTCTCTGTTCCCTCTTATCTCTCTCTGTTATTGTTGAGAAGGGTTAATGAGTGGTGAGTTTCAGTTTTACTCATAAATCCCACAAGATTTACCAACCCAAATTTTGTACTTTTCAAAGAAAACGCATGATGCCATATAATTACCTAATTATAGTAAAGGTTATGGCATAATTTGTGTGAAAAAATGGGTGTGGTTTGTATAGAGCCGAGGCTCTAAGCCATCAAAATAAAGTGCACCTTTAAATAGTATCGAAAAAAATACTTTCAATACTGAAAATCTTTGTGATAGCCCTAAAATATATTTTCAAATCTCATTGTAAAATTTTAAACTAAAAAAATAGTGTAGATCGAACAAGATTGATGAAAAATTAAAAACTTGAAAATTGACGGTCCATAAATGCATTACAAGATGCACTATTCCAGAACTTGAAATCCATTTTTTTCTCATGTCCATGCATCTTGATGTCGAGATGACCAACTTGAGGATATTTGGATATCAAAACAACCTCTTCTAGAGAAATTTTTTAGGGGCTCCAATTTGATTGTTTAGAGCCTCGGCTCTATATAAACTTTTTCCGTTTGGTAATCATGAATTGTTTCTTAAATACTAGGGATTTTATTCACGAAAGGTTATAATATTCTTAGAGTTTTAATTCTTTTTTTCTTTTTTTAATGTGATTATAAAAAGAGGGGACTCATTCGGTTTCTAAAAGTCCTACTAGTCCACACTAGCGCAGTGAGTGACCTACCAGCCTTCACAATATACCCATGCTTTCCGTGGCATAACAAAAATAAATAAAAAATCAATTGGGGAATAATGTTTTAAAAAAAATTAATTCTGATCCAAACACCCTAATATGGATCAGGATTCACTGGGATTAGTTTAGTTCCCAACATATATCAAGAATCGGTTCCCACTAAGAACAAGCAAGTTCTCTACCCATATGAGCCAGTTCTGTCAAGGAACCGACCAATCTCGCATCATCTGTCATTTTTATTATTTTTTATTTTTTATTATATTTTCTATTTATTATTTTTTATTGGTCGATTCAGTCGTCCAGATCGCCAACACACTGATCCAAACACGTTTTCAAAGGGGTTGATCTGTCCAACCCATTGTTTTTCAGACACTTGAGTGGGAAAATGAGAGATGGCTATTTTAAATTATCAAAATAAGATGCAATAGTACATTGAAATTCAATAGAAAGATGGCATAAAAACTTTTAAGATAGCCTGAACAACTGTTTCCACCCCTGATGATGAAAATTAAGTTTCAAAATTGCTACAGATGAAGAAAATTTGTAAATATTTAAAATCCGTAAAAATAGACCGTCTAAATAATGTGTTATAAGATGTATTATTTAAAGATTTAATTTTAAAAAAAAAATCTTCAAAATAGACTGTTCAAATAATGTATTACACGATGTGTTATTTTTAGGACTTTTTAATTTTTTTAATTTATATATCTTGATATCAAGATACTAAATTAGAGGGCTTTGAACGTTGGAACAACCTGTTTTAATAAATTTTTGGTGTTTCTCACTTCTATAAAGTAAGGTTTGACACCTTATATAAACTTGGGAGAATAATAAAAAACCCCCAAGATTATATTTTCTATGCAACTTACCCCCAAGCTAATTTGTCTCTCACTTTTTTCCCAAAAAGAAGTTTTCTATGCAAATACCTCCCCAAAGGAAAAAGTTCAGTTTTTTTACACGGAAATACCCTTCCCGTATACAAAAATCAATTTGGCCAGATTTCACGTTAACTTTCGGAGCACATTGCTGGCGCGAACAGTTACAGTGCCGGAACGCTTGATCCACTGTCAGAGAGCACATACAGAGTGCCGAAGCGTTGTGACTCCAGAATGTTTCACTACCGGAGCGCATCATCCACTGTCGGACTGCACTTACACATTGCCGGAGCCCTGGGACTACAGAGTGTTCCATTGTCGAACCGCACTTACACAGTGTCAGAGCATTGTAATTCCAAAGTGTTCTACTGCCAGAGCACACTTACTCAGTGCCAGAGCGCCTGACCCATTGCCGAAGAGCACATACACAATGCCGGAGCTCTGGGACTCCTGGGTGTTCTACTGCCAGATCGTACTTGTACAATGCCGGAGCGTTGTGATTCTAGAGTGCTCCACTACAGAACCGCACTTACATAGTGCCGGAGCACTGTGTCTCCACAGTGTTTCACTGCCGAAGCGCACATACACAGTGCCGGAGCATTGTGACTCCAGAGTGTTCCACTGTCGGAGTGCAGTTACAGTTACACAGTGCCGGAGTGGTTGATCCACTTTTGAAGCTATCATTTTTTTTTTTTTTGCTTTAGGGTAGTGTTATGTGTTAGCTAATAATAAGGAGAACTAGAGTTATGTGTTGCTTTTAGGTGGTAGTGACATTGTTTTTAAGTGGCTTTGGTTGCCCCAAAGAAATTGATAGTTGTTTCACATAGAGAAATTGGGCCTGGATTCAAGAAGACAGTCGAAGAGAGAGAGGGTTGGACTCGAGCCAAAAAAATCCTTCGAAGAGGGAGTGGGAGAGAGCTCAAGAAAGAGGGACAGAGCTCGGGTAGTGAGTGCGTCTGTAGACTATGGGTCCGTGCAGTAAAAAATTAGGTCTTGTGGAAAAGATGAAAGAGAGAGAGGCGTGAGTCAAGAGTAAGGTATGGGAGGAGAGAAGGAGTGGGTAAGGGTAAAGTAAGTGTAGTTTTACCTTTTTTTATAAATTTTTGGGGTAGTTGAGGGTATTTGCTAGGAAATATTGCTTTGAGACAAAAAGTGAGAAAAAAGATTAGTT